AGTTGAACTCCAACCTTAAGAGCCCCACCGTTCCGCTCCTAGAACTTTGTAAGGAAGGTAAATCGCAGAATGTGTCCTAATAGACCAGGGAACAAGAACTGTTAGTACATTGCGCCTACAAAGAATCTAATTTCATATCTCAAGAATCGAATCTCCACACTGCGGCTGCCAGCAAAGCGTGAAATAACCTCACTCCTATCCTTTGCACCACTGGGCTATGCCCCGAGAGGAAAATTATTTTATTTTACCATATGTTGGGATTGTCTTTCCACAGCAAAAGCCCCACGAAATTTATTTTCGTCTTTAGAAGGGAATAAGTACATCAAACTTTAAGCGATCTTGACTTTTGGGCTGAATTAAATACGAGGGAAAGTGATGCCTTACTTCCCGTGCGTTGAACTTAGAGAAATGGATATGTTTCTATATAATCTATGAAGGGCAATATAGTTTCCTATTAACGGACGAACAGTTACACGGAATAATATATTATTGTTCGAATCACTAATCCGTGATTTATATTTTATACTCCATGCGTGGGCGGAAGAGCATTTATGCTACACAAGCTTGAAAATGTGGCGATATATAAACAAGTGCTTGACTCATTATTTTTCGTATATGGAACAAGTTTCTTTCAATATTTATCACTCTAATGAGTGGACTTTGAACTTTCAATTTCTCATTCACTAGAGCGTCATTTGAGCATGTGAACATACGATTTCAATGATCTTGCTGAAAGAACATGAATCTACTTAAAATTTCCAAATAGAAGAAGTGGGCCTCACTCAAAATTAAGCCAAAATACAACAATTTCCAATAATAACAATAATCAAGAGCAAAATCAAAATAAGACCCATGTTGTCACAAGTAATGTCTCCTTTAAAATACAAGAAGAAAACCAAAAGAAATGGAGATTGAATCGAAATAAACCCTATCAAATTAATACATAAAAGATATTTGAATGCGTCTCAATTCTCATACATCTTACCAACTTACTTGGTTTAAAGGTTTTACCGAGCACTCTCATTTGTTTAAGCGTGGAGCATAAATGTGCCATGCAAGAAATGTTTGGTAAGGTGAAACGGGAATGGACTAAAAAACTTTTTTCTGAGATTTAACATTTATATGTCTAATTTACAATTCCTCTTAAATACTCGTAGTTTGTCTTATACCAAGTTACTATGTTGTGGGATGAAATCTTTACTCCTAACTTGGTAATGACAAGTTAACTTACAAAGATTAAGGATAAAGAAATATCCCATGTGCCTTCATGTGCCCACTGCGTAACCAATTTACCTAAGTAAAACAAATTAATGAATTAAAGACAAAAAAATTGATTATATAAATCCAAGCCCAAATTCCCAGAGCATTTTAATGAAATTAAGAGAGTACGGTATATGTTGTCTTGTATCAGAACATTTTTTTTCTTTTGTTGATTCTTAGTTTGGGAATGGAGATCCTGTTTTGGAATCTCACATAGCCACCATTAAGAAATAGATTAATACAAAATTAATGCAATTTGTTTTGTGATTAACAGTATAAATTTGTCCTGTATCATTGTTTTTGGTCAACTATGTCATTGAGTTGTAAAGTTTCAAGATAAAAACTAGTAATCTAATCAAATGGAGTAATGCTCTCTAGCCCGGCCCAATGGGATTGCAACTCTAAACTAAACGGCGCTAATGTAGCATTAACTGATAGGTGAAATTAAATAACTCATAATTTCACATTTTATTTAAGCTATAATCTAATGCTACGTAGATTGGGATTGCAATTTCTGTGAGACTACATAATATTACTCAATCAAATAAAGGTAAATTCCATCAAGGATCCTCTACCTTTGGTTTTTTCGGTTGATTTCCAACCTTTTAAAATTTTGGTATTGCAATGTCCCGATTTAACAAAAAATATTTCTTTGTACATTAAAATGCCGCGCAACACTCCCATGATGATAGATTGAACGGGTAAAATTGTTCAAAAATATTTTTTACTCCATAACATTCAAATGGTAAATTCAACTTTCATTCAGAAATTTGAGTGAAGTAAAAGTTGTCGATGTTCATAAAATCTATCCTCTTGCTTTAACTCATTTCGGACAATAAGTAAATTCCTCGTGGCCATTCAATACTTAAAAAGTATACGTTTTCTCTTAGATGGGAACATGGGTGCTACGACTAAAATATTGAAAATATGAGTGTCACATTTATAAAAAGTTGGGATACCTACTTGTGTTTAACCTTGAACAAAATTATAAAATGCAGCGTCGATAAATCCAATTTGACGATAACACAAGATATAACAGTCAACTTACCAAAAATTGATACATCTCCTTGTACATTCTTTGAATGACATGAAGTTTGACATGTAGTGTAAATTTAAATTGTGTTTGACAAGAAAGTGTGTTGAATTAAAAAATTGTCCAATCATGTGCAGTTATGTGGAACAATGTCCATTTTCTAAAGAGGATTGATGCTAGTTGGAGGGCATGTCTTCTTTGAATTTGTCGTTTTTAAGCCATTGCCTCCTTTTATTTTTTCATTTTTTTCATTTTTTTTTTGTTTTTTCGATTTTCACAAATTTTCACTCCTTAATTTGCAGAGTACATCCATATTCATAATGAGAGGGTACAACCGTACGAGCATGCTGTAGGTATTGGGGTTACAGACCCCTTCTAGGTAACACACATGCGCGGGCCCCGACGTAATTTTTTTTCATGTGGGATCGACCCCTACAGTGAGGGGTCGATAAGACCTCTGTAGGTTCCCTTGTATATAGTTTAGCTCATTATTCTTGTTATTTGTAATCTTGCTATCAAGAGGAGCGGCCATCGAATATTCAAAATCTGTTGACACGGTCATTTTTCTGTTAAAAAATAAATTAGATATACAATATTTGTTTAAACATAATATTTCCTACAACACTTTACAAACAGGTTTCCAAATTCGAATTAATTTATATATTTTACTTATACATAATTATTTTTAAAAAATATATATATAATGAAATTAAGGGTCCGTTTGATTGCAAATGTGGAATTTGGATGGAAAGAAAACGAATTCCAGGGAATTGAATTGATGAGAAATTGTTTTCCTGGAAATTGTAAATTATTGTGTTTGATTGATATAATTTTCCATGTGAAAAATGTTTAAATTAAAGCGTTTTTTTTATTTTCGTTTGGTTTTGTTTTACATGAAAATTGTCAATTAAAATGAAATATTTTTTTACAATAATTCTTAGAATTTGTTACTATTGCAAAAAAAAAAAAAAAAAAAGGGCCAGCAGTCAAGAAAACCAAATTCCCATCTCACCCAAGGGAATTGGTTTTCCTCATTTTTATGGAAAAGGTGGTCACGTGCATCAAAGATGGAAAACAAGTCACCTAGAAAAAATTCCCTATCGAACAAGGCAAATTGGATGGAAATTTTCCATTTTCACATGGAAAATGGAGTAATCAAACATGGCCTAAGTTCTAAAAATTGAATTTTAAGATTGGCTTATTGACGGAATATACCCACTTTTTAGACACATTCTGCAATACCCCCACATTTCTAAGATTGACGGAAAACATCTATGTATGAAACTTGAGGCGCGGAACACAATCTTTGAGGTGTGGAAAATCTCCATGATCTTTGAAGTGCGATTCATCTCTCGCCGTTCAATTCTGTTAAGTTAAGAGTTAAAAATAGTAAAAATGGCCAAAATTATAAATGAATAATTGCAAATGTGATCCCCCACCGCACTTCATACTCTTCCCATTTGGGTATTTGTACTAATTGCAATTGAAATTAGTTGGTAGTTGTGGCAGCACTGAGGGTGTCAACGAATCATGGGCGTTGCTACGCCTCGTTTGGTAATGTTTGGGATCACACTTGCAATTATTCATTTTTAATTTTGTCATTTTTACTATTTTTAATGCGTAGCTTGACGGAATTGGGCGGTAGAGGGTGGATTGCACTTCAAAGATGATATAGGAGGTTTTTTGCACCTTAAAGATTGTCTTTCGCACTTCAAGTTTCATACATGGATATTTCCGGAAAATGCTAACTCCACCCATGTGAGAGGGTGGACAACCCAATATACCTCACCCATGTGAATGTACCAAATATTATGTACATGTATCTTTATCCGATATTTTCTGTCAATTCCACCAGGGGATACCCCACCCATGTGAGTGGGTGGATACCTTTTATGTACCAAATAGTATGTACTTGTATCTTTATTCGATATTTTCTGCCAATTCCGAAAGGTAGGGGATATTGCACAATGGGTCTAAATAGTGAAGGGTATTGCGCCAATAAACCTTTAAAAGTTTTAAGGGTTCGTTTGATTATAAAGATGAAATTTGGGTAGAAAGAAAACGAATTTCAGGAAATTGAATTGCCTAGAAATTATTTTCTTGGGAATTGTCAATTTTTTGTGTTTGATTGCTATAATTTTCCACGTGGAAAATATTGAAATAAAAGTGTTTTTTGGTGTTCGTTTGATTTTGTTTTACATGAAACTTGTGAATTAAATGGATAGAATTTACTGGTATTAGGATGAAATTTGTTTTCATTGCCAAAAAAAAATAAAATCAAGGAAATCATTTATCTTTTGGCGTTCGTTTGACTTTATTTTATTGAAAATTGTCAATTAAAGGAAAATATTTTTTTACAATGATTCTTAAAATTTGTTTTCATTTCCCAAAAAAAAAAAAAAAAACAAAACAAAAAGAGAGAGAGAGAGAGAAATCGCTACAGTAAGATGGAAAATGAATTAATTCAAATTCATCAAAAAAAGTGGGAAATTATCTATGTGGCCAAGGAAAGTGGAAAAGGTTTTTCATGAAAAATTTGTCCTACCAAACATCACAAAAGTTAAAAAATCTTGATTATTTTCCATTTTCCATAGAAAATGTTTAGCAATCAAACAGGGACCAAGTGTAACTCAAACATATTAAGAGAAATGGATAACATCAAAATGAGCTTCTTTCTTTGTAGGATAAAGAAAGAAAACATGAAACAAAATAACGCTGTAAAGTTATGGCGTATGCTTCCAAGTGAAGAAAGAAACTTCCAAAATACACTCACTCTCATTCATCCCTGCCCGTCTCCCTCTTGTCATCTTCCCCATCCCCACCCCCTCTTTGCAGTAGAATTTGTTAGTATTATACGATGAATATCCACACAACAAATCCAAAAAGAAAACCATTAATAATTTTTCCGTCACAATCCCATATGATATCTCTATTGCCACCGTCCCTAACCAATCATTCTTTATATTCAATTCCAGCCCCAGCCTCAACACAGCCATTCTTATTTCCAACTCCTTATTATCACCATTTATGACCAGTTATCAAGCAATAAATCCCTCATTAATTTACAATTTCATTAGCTGAATAAATAGTGTAAATGTGACTAGACTTTTCCGATCCAGGTCTTGCACAGTTAGCGGTTTATTTGCTATCAAATCAATGCCGCCGGAAAAAGCCACTTCCCCAAATAGCCTCTTCGTTTACGAGGACGAAGAACTGGAGGAAGATGAGGAAGAGGGATATTTCAGGGATTTTATCAGTGATGGGGAGTTTGATAATCCTGTTACGACGCCGTTTATAAGCCCGGATAGGAGTCATGGGCGGTGGATTAAGCCCGAAGATCGAAATGGGCATAATAATCAGCAATTCTCGGTTCTTTCGATGGTGGCGACAGCTCTGCGGCGGTCTCTGGTGACTTGCAGCGTAAATAGGGATCACATGGAGTCTGATGTGGACATAGGGTGGCCCACTGACGTCCGCCATGTCTCCCATGTCACCTTTGACCGCTTCAATGGCTTCCTTGGACTTCCTGTCGAGCTCCAGCCCGACTTCCCACGAACACCCCCCAGCGCCAGGCACTATTTTTAATATCTTCTCCTTTTTACTTTGCTAAACAGTACTTTTGCTTTTGGTTGAATCTGGGATGCATTTTTTATTATATCCGGACTTATAATTGTTATCGATTTACTTCTACCAATAGTTGTCTAATTCTTCTTCTACATTTTGTTTATAACGAATGTTGGTAGAATTTTGTTGTCCAAATTTATGAGAATAAATGCATAGGAGCTTCACTCTTTGTTCATCTAATTTCGTCTTCCTGGTGTATTACTGTTCGGACATGCAATAATGAAAGCTTCCTTCGAAGATTAAGGAGGTTATTTTGATGTGGAATTATAATTACCCTCGACTGAAATGCCTATCTGCTGTCAAATGAGATGTTGAGTGCACTGTTTAAACAAGTTTCTTGCTATTTGTAAAGATGATTCTGGTTTTGTAAACTAATTTTGTTATGTTTAATTTTATATGTGATGGTTGGTTCTTTTCTAATGCAAATCACATTATGGGAACAAATGTTGGTTAACACTGAGCTATCTCGTCCGTTGTGGCAAGAACATGCTGTAAAATTTTGGCATCTTAATTTTTGGATTTGTAGAATGTTGAATGTTGAATGTGCTTGTGTCGTGTATATCTATTTTGTAGTTTGCATGTATTCATCTATGTACTTGTATATATACGGATGTCCTAAATTTCAATATCCACTTAATAGAAGAAATTTATGATTTCTCAATTTTGCCACCCATCATGTCTGCAGTGCAAGTGTTTTTGGAGTTTCAGCACAATCAATGCAGTGTTCTTATGATCAAAGAGGGAACAGTGTGCCAACAATCCTTCTTAGGATGCAAAACCAGTTGTATTCAGAAGGCGGCCTTCAAGTATGCATATATGTTTATTATTGGTAATTTCTTAATTGCTATTGGAATCAATTTTCATTAATTAATTATGATTTATATGTTTTGGTTGAAGGCAGAAGGAATATTCCGAATCAATGCTGCAAATAGTCGAGAAGAACTTGTCCGCAATCAACTTAATAAAGGGGTTGTGCCCCGTGGAATTGATGTTCATTGTTTGGCTGGGTTGATAAAGGTACCTGGATGAGAATCCTTAGTTAAATATTCTTCCATTACCTCGAGGAGAAATATTATGAGATGAAAGTTCTTTCTTCTTAAGTTGACGTGGGTATAGGTTAGCTGAAATTGATTAAGGTATGGAATGGAATCATACTTAGCCAAATAATGTTCTGTTGAACTAATATGAAGCAATAAAATTTTGGAAATAACAATGAGTTCCATCAGTTGTAACTTACACTTTCCATTAAAAGGAAGGTTGTTTCCTGGCTGTACTACAACTATCAAAAATCAAACCTGCCATAACCTTGTTTAACCCGCCTTTTCGAATTCTGTAGCCGTTTACTTCCCACAGAAGATTCAGAGACACTGTTAATTACATGGGATGAGTTACAAACAGGAGTGATGTTTGGCAATTAAGAAAATCTCCTACTTACATCATTTATCTCTAAACTTGTACAAACTTGCTTAAAAATTGGTAATGCCGCAAGGATTCTTCTTCTTAATTAACCATTCTCCACTTTCTACAAGCTCGTGCTATAATAAGATAGACCAATTTCCATCCTGATGATTTCTAGCGCAGGTTGATTCTCCACATTGCATAATGAGTGAATTATTTTTGTCACTTAGCTTTAGGAAATTATCCAAAACCAACTCTAGTTTTAAGCGTTGCTGTTTTCTATTTTCCATCTTTTTCTATTTTTTTTCTATTTTTATTTTTTTGCTGTGTGACTGCACCTAATTTGGAAGAGAAAGTACGAATAACTACTGATATCTTTGGTATTAGGATAAGTATCACATAAGGCATGTAAATGTCATCCTCTTCAAATTGATTTGGTACTTTAGCTATTACTCAACCATTTATATTTTACAGTTGTGGAACATTTTTTCTGCATCTTATTAGAATGTACTTAGTACTAAATAAACTACATGGACTTTGGTGAGGGGTGCAAGAAATGGGCACGTGGCTAAGTGTTCCATTTGTAATAAGTCTACCAGTTTAACCTTAAAATGTAGGATCCATATGCCATAACTCACCTGAGCCTCAAATGTTCAATGCGTGTCTGACCATAGTAAACGGTACATGTGATGTAACACTGCTTCATTTTATCAGGATGAGGCTCAACTGCTGCACTTTTTCATCCTAACTTGCACTTGCTCTTTCAAGCATGATATTAATACTTCAACGAATGGATCTACTAAAACCTTAAATCTCACCCTTGTGGAAGACCGATTACTTGAACAAACAGCTGCTTGTGGTTTCATAACTAGTCTCGAGAATAACTTTAAAAAGAAACTGTGTGAAGGAAATTTGCGTTTAGTTCATCAGCGACTAAATGTAATTTCTAATCTGCTTTCCAGTTTGCTATTCAAATGTTAAGAGTTGTCCTTTGCACTAGAATACTTCTTTACACCTTACTGACTGAGTTAAAACTGATATATATAATCTAGGTGTCAGCAGGATAAATTTGTAATCATAGTACAAGGCTAGGAAAATCCTGCCTCTCTTCATATGATTGATGTATTGTGTGAGTTATAATCTATAGTAGAGTAAAGCAAAACAACATGTCACTGGCTATTTCTTGATGCTATGATCTAAATGGTTCAGTGAAGTTGAGTGATGTATGCAATAAGAATGGGGAATTCTCTCTTTCGTATTGGTTGGCAAACTGATTGCTTCAGTAAATGTTCTATGAGCCAATTTTCTGGTTGCCTCTTGATATTATGACCATGATCACTGATGACTACTAATTTTAACATTCCAGGCATGGTTTAGAGAACTTCCAACTGGAATTCTTGATTCTCTGACCCCAGAACAGGTGATGCATTGCAACACAGAAGAAGAATGCTCCCAGCTTGTAAAGCTGCTTCCACCAACTGAAGCTGCATTGCTTGATTGGGCAATCAACTTGATGGCTGATGTTGTGCAAAATGAACATTTAAATAAGATGAATGCACGCAACATTGCTATGGTTTTTGCTCCCAATATGACTCAGGTTCTTTAGCCTTCTTTGCGCCTTTTGTTCTTTCTATATTATTTTTGCATCGCAGGGTCTTCAAGTTTGACCGGTTAGACCCCTTTCTAGCTGTTTTTGACGTTTCAAGTAATTTTCTAGCAACCTACCACACTTGACTTATGTTTGGCTCATGTTTATAATTTGTTAATAAATGTCAAGGTACTTTTTATCTACACATTTCAAAGGATCCACAACTACTACCCAATTATCCACCACTTATTTCTACTTTTTTATAATTTAAATCGTTTATAAACACTTCCCAAATATGCTATTAGATTTTTATGTAGGGCTTAATATTGACCCTTGAGTATAGGCAGAATAAGAGATCGCCTAAAGCCTCATCTTTAATAAGGGCCCTCAAATTTTGTTTTTCTATATATAATAAAGAATTTTTCAAAAAATCAAAGTTATATATTTTTCAAAGTGTAATTTTTTTTTAATACATTATTAACTTTACATTTTATTTTTTTCTTGCTTTCAAGATAATTTTTCGTTTTCTCTCTTCTTTTTTCTCTTTGCCATTTTTTTTATTTGTTTAGAGAACTTTCTACTTCTATTTTATTTTGTCTGCTTGTTTAGTCATATCCTTAATCCCCATTCCCAAATTCAACCCTCCGTAAATTCTCTGGCTTACATTACAATATTTGACAGTAATATTGATGTGTGTGTGTGTGTGTATATATATGCCCTCTTGTATATTTTTATTTTCTTTTGATATTTTTCAATTTCTTCTTTAAAAAAAAAAAGAAAAATTGATTATAAAAGTGTTAAATTGACTAGTCTTTTTTAATTGTTTCATCTATATCCCATCTAATATGAAAGTGAGGCATTATTAATTATAGAAAATAGTACTAGAAAAAAATTCATGGACATTTACACATCATGTGGTCATCATAGTTTTAGAGCTCATTTGGCATAATTTTTGCTTTTTGTAGAATAGCCTTTGGAAGAAGTTACCGTAAATTTTGATTAAAAATTAATATTTAAAAACACTTCCCATTCCAAAAGTTCTTTTAGAGGAAGCCACATTGAACCAATTTCATCTAAAAGCTCTTTCAACTATCAAAAGCAACTTAACAAAATTAGCAAAACGAATCCAAAAGCAACTTTTAGGTCTCAGAAGCTCCCTTTGACTTTTTAAAAGCTATGCCTAACAGGCACTTAATCTTGCGCTTTGTGTTATGAAAAAATCTTATATAAAGGCTATTGTTTTGGGGAGGAATTGTACAATTCATATATTATTTTTCAACTTCTAAATAGCGATTAAATATTTTTCAAGAAAATAGAAAATGCCTTGACATTTAAACAACTATCACAAACACGTTAAGTGAAGTTAAAAGTAGTTTTAAAACACTTAGAGTGTGTTTGATTAGCTTTATTTTTTATGAAAAATGTCATTTTTCTCCCAAATTCTTACTTTTGAGATATTTGATTGACAATTTTTTCCATAAAAAATATTTTCCAATTTTTGATTATGTGAGCATATTTTCCTTAAAAACAAAGAAAATATTTTTTTTTTAGGAATGTGATTTTTATTTTCCATGTAATTCACTCTCTTTCTCTCTCTCATTTACTCACCATAAAAAATTTACAAGTATAATATTTTTTAGATTAAAAACTAAACTCTTGTTTGAGTCCCATTTTTTCAAGAATGTATTTTTTCAAAAATCATTTTTAACCACACATTCTTCTATAAAATAGTTATACACATATTTTAAAAAGAAAATTCTTACTTTTTAACCACACATTCTTCAAAAAAATTACTATTCCATAATGCATTTTATCTCAAAAATGGAAATCAAACAGGGCTAAATCAATCAAACACATTTAATTAGTAATTCCATACAAATTATTTCTTATTTCCATGCAAGTTCCATGCTCATAATCAAACGCAACTTCAGTGAAAATGTGTGATTACCATAAGGCATTTAGAGATGCTAAAAGTTTGTTTTCTGACGGTATGGATTTAAGTTCTTATTTGGCATGATTGTTTGATACAATATATTGTCTATCATTAATAGATTAAGTAAAATGTTGCAAAGTGATAACATGTCCAATTGATGCTGCTATTAAACGCTTAAAATCACTTATAAACATACAAAGAAATTGAATTTGAAAATGACATGATTACTATTAAAGAAATTACTGTTAAAAATAAAAGTTGAACATAAATTTCATGAAAGCGTATAACAGAAAGAACACTTTCATGAAAATATCAATGATAAGATAACACATTCAACTGAAGAATCTTTTATGGTCAATTATTTTTCATATATAATTGATAAAGATTTTTCTTCACTTGAGTTAAGGTTTGAACAATTTCAATTTCATATTTTTGAATTTCTGTTTGATTTTTAAACTATAAATAATGCCCCCGTTTGAGCCCCATTATTTCTCATTACATTAAATTAAATTTCTCTCTTCTACTTTTAACCATATTACACGTAAATCAAAAACTTTTCAACCACTCATTTTTAAAAAAAATACTATTTATTTCATTATAATCTACAAATAATGGGGCTCAAATGGCCCCAATAATTGTTTGAAGTGTTAGTGTGATAAGTTTGAAGAATTTTTGAAGCGCCATAGGAATTGTGATGTTAATGGGTCTAGTTAGTTTTGAGCTACAAATGTGAGAATTTGATTGCTTGAAGACATCAAAAAAGTGATTGAAATGTTAGACTAGATAAAAATGATGGATTGTTGTTATTAAAATATATAGATTGCTTATAGAATATTACTGACATACCAATCACAGTTGCACGTGCCGAGGGAAATTTCACAAAGTTGAATATGATAAGATTCTACCTTCGATTAAAATTTTATAAGAAATGTTGAATGAATTGGCCATGATGTCTATTTTAGATTATTGATTTTCTATCAAAAAATTCTAAAATAAAAAATAATTTTGACATATGAAAATTTTAGATTATTATTTAACAAGAATTATTATTATTATTATTATATTTTATAATATTCAAAGGGGCCCCATATTTGAAGTTAGCTTAAGGCCCCCAAAATATCTTAGACCGGCCATGGTAGGTCTGGGTGTGGTCCAACTTGGTCCACTTCTACAAAGAATCGAATATAATTAAGTATTTTGGAAATGAAACCAAACAGTTCGATTCCGATTCTGTCCACTTTAGTTCCTTCAATAAATTTCTCTAATTCACTAATAGATGCAATTGCAGTGTCTTATTGTACAAGTTCTTACTATAATTGTTTAAATATCTAAGTTCTCCATATCTATTCATAGAAATAATTTATATTGATATTATTGATTTATATTTTTCAAGTTTTACATCAACTTGTTAACTATTGACTTGAATAAGTTCTTGATAAACAAGTTATAATCTTGTTCTTTATACTTTTGAGGGGATGAAATTGTTAACTTGGAAAGGATGAAAGGAGCCCAAATCTCTTATTAATCCAATATTACATCTATGAAATTTAATGGGTCTATTAACATTCTTAAAGCTGAATATGGGTTTGATGTTCTAAATTCAGATCCGCTATTAAAATAAAAGGTAAAAAATTCGGGTTAAATCAGGTTTTAATGGTTCTTGGTCTTAGAACCGAGAAACAGGCCAGAAGTGGCCGGCTCTAGATTATAGTACCCCGTCCATTAGAGCTTGAGTGGAACCGCACTGAACTGGTCAATTCCAATTCAATTTAGTTCGGTCCAATGGTTCCAGTAACTTTTGCCCACAATTTTATGACATGATCATTCTGCTTTTGATTTTCAAATTCTATTAATTGGTAATCATTAAGATACTTTTCTTTACAAGTTGTCGTGTTAGACTAAATGTTGGAATGATGGTTAAAACTATTATTATGTTCTTGGTCATATATAACTATGCATTGGCAACTTGATGTGAGAGAGTTGTTTTTGCAGTGATTGGCCTTGATTTTGTTGGGTTCGAATTCCTCGAATATTACCATGTTACGGATAATCAAGATGGTTTTTGAATTGATGCAGATGGCTGATCCTTTGACGGCATTAATTCATGCAGTCCAAGTTATGAACTTTCTCAAGACCCTGATATCGAAAACTCTTTGTGAAAGAGAAGTGTTAGCTAACACTGATCGATTATTCGCAGCATATGCTGATTCTACTGGCAACATAGGGGTTGATCACCCATCAAACACAATTGCAACGGTCTTGTACGAGCAGTCTTGTGATGACTGCTCATGTTCAAGATCTGCCTATGGCAGCCTCTTGTGGAGTGCCACTTTAGAGAGACTGGAAGCTGATAGCAACGAGAAATCCTGGAGATTAAAGAGTAAGAGCGATGTTGATGAGAAATATGAATCTGTTGCCAGTATAATCTCACCTGAAAACCGCAAAAGACAAACTTTAGAGAATAGATTTAGAGATGAATATGACGATGAGGAAGTTGGAGGGGTATTCAATAGGCTAAGTTTGAGAAAAGGAGTGCAAAAACTTTGCAAACATCCTGTTTTTCAATTGAGTAAGCCAGTCAAGAAGAATAGCAGCGTTGGAATTGTAAATACTCGAGAAGGAGGTGTTGAAGCTTGCGCATACAATGGATGCAAGCACACAGTTCTGTGCTCTGTACGGGCTGAGTAAATCTTTTTACATTAACGGAACATTCTACCAGTTTAGGTATGTTGTTTTGATAATAATCTAGTTAGATGAAGCATTTGAAGGTGTGTGTGAATTTTTTTTCAGGTACTAACTGCAGTTTTATTGAACATGTACAAGGATATGCATGACAATAATTTCATGCCTAAGATAAAATCTAGTAGCAGAATGCATTAAATTTCATCATTTGATGCAAATTTTAGATTACATTATGTCCAATAGATTTTTGGGTATTTTAAACGTACAATTTGTGAAATGCACTTGGCGTGCATGGTGTATTTATATTTTAGAAATTACAGTGTGAAAGAACCTTCAAGTTGTGGGTTGCTTTGCAAACGATTCCTAACCTTCAATCTTGATGCAAACATCCCTAACCGGTCGCTTCTTTTTTATTGGTTTCCAATTGACTGTTAAGAGGTCAAATTTTTTTATAAAATTCTAAAAGACCCCTTCACTTTTAGTTAAATAAATAAAAATTTTAAAAATTTGCACAAAGAGGAAAACAACTCATTCCACGACAAATGTCTCATAAGATTATCTCCGAAGGAATTTTTCATTGCTTTAAAAAATTATGTCAAAAATAAAGTATTAGGTATTTAAAAAATTCCTAATGCAAAATGATAGGGATCCATCAAGGTGATGTGGTAGAAAAAACTCGATATAAAGACTTTCAATCTATATTACGTTGATACTATAAATAGATGTTTGAGTTCAAAATTGGATTTCAATGTGTAGAAAACTGAATGATTATAGGAGACTAGAGGCTATTTTGGAATAATTGATGCATCATATTTATTTTGTCCACAATTAGGTAGTATTATTTGCTCTCCTAATTTAGGAGATTATTTTCCTTATTTTCCTCCCACTAGGTTGTATATAAGTACAGAAATCAAGAAGGAATAATATCATTCACACAGAAAAAGTGTGATTCATTGTTTTCTACGTGATATCAGAGCCACACATGACAAAAATAAGTAAGGATTCTACCACCGCAGACGTGCTTCAAAACAAAACTGAGGCTATATTTTCTATGGGCTCCAACACTGAAAATTCTTCCTTTCAACTCACTGTCGAAAAATTGAACGGAAGAAACTTTCGAGAGTGGGCCCAATCTATCAAATTAATAATTGAAGGCAAAGGAAAGCCTGGGTACATCACTAACAAGACCAAGAAACCAACAGAGCCAACTCTAATTCAAAAATGGAAATTGAAAAATTTGTTGATAATAGCCTAGCTTGTTAATTCTATGACTCCAACCATAGGTAAAACATACCTATTCCTACCGACGGTGAAGGAAGTCTGAAAAGTAGTGAAGGAGACATACTCCGATGGTGAAAACACTGCCCAAATCTTCGAGATAAAGACTCGATTGTGGCATACCAAGCAAGGTGAGAAAAGTCACGGATTATTTTCTAGAGAGGACACAACTATGGCAAGAGCTCAACCTCAATCTTGAGGAAGAGTGGGAATGTATCGGTGATAGTGTACTCTGCAAAAAAGGGTTGAGAACGAAATAGTTTTCGAGTTTCTCTCGGGCCTCAACTACGATTTAGATGATATCAGGGGATAATCTTGGGCCGACGACCGTTATCAACCACAATAGAGGTGTTTGTAGAGGTTAGAAGGGAAGAAAATCACCGGAAAATCATGTTGAAGGCCGATGATGATGAGACATTGGATACGCCGATAAGCTCGAAGAGGAACGGACTTGGCGAGCTAAGAAGAAATGAAATAATAACCAGTAGACCGGTCAACTTAAATGGGCCAAATGGGTCAATTCAAAATATAAAATTGGATGGGCTGAGAAATTGCATAATGGGCAAGGTCATTCTGTAGGTGTAATTCGGCCTGAAATGAATGATCACCTTCAAATGGACCAAAACAACTAAGGGGACGTCCATGGTGCGAATACTGTCGAAAATCGGTGCACAAGGAAGATACATGTAGGGACTTACACAGGAAGCCGAATGATTGGAAACCAAGACAAAATTTCAAAATTCGAGGATATCAAGCATCAATTGATCTTACTGAAAATCCCAAGGAAAATATTCTACTGCAGGAAGTGCATTTACTCTTGAAAACAACTGGAACAACTGTATCAAATTTTCTCCAATCTTCAAAATTCAGATCTTCATTCCACCCACAGTCTGTCAAGTTCACTAGCTCACAAAAGTATTCATCTAAGAGCCTTGACTACTTCCTTAAAAAATATAAAGTGCCATGGATTATTAATTCAGGTGTGTCCGATCACATGATGGACTCCTACCACCTATTTTCGACATATACACCATGTGTTGGTAATATCAAAATCAAGATTGTGGATGGGTCACCCTAAACCCTTACAGGAAAATGTTGTATCCAAATATTTAAATCTATTATACTAAACTCAGTACTTTACGTTCCAAATTTATCTTTTAACCTATTATCTATTAGCCAATTAACAAAAATATCTAATTGTCGTTGAAATTTTTCCATCTTATTATGTCTTTCAGGACCTACAATCAAGGAAGACAATTGGCAGTGCTAGAGAGTATGCAAGTCTTTACTACTTTGAGGAAGTAGATACGAATAAGCCAATTCAAATTGCAATTTGTGATTCTGTACATACCTCTAAGGATAGTGAAGTTTGATTATAGCATTACTGAATGGGTCATCCCAATATGCAATATCTAAAACGTGTACTTCTGTCTATAGTTTTGAATAAAACTTCATTTGAACTTCAATGTGAAATTTGTGAACTAGCAAAACATCAATGAAGTGTATTTCCAAAATCTGTATAGAAGCCATCAAAACCATTTACTATAATGCACAGCTATTAATGGGTCTTTCACGAATCCCTAATTGCAATCAAACAAAATGGTTTGTTACATTCATTGACGATCATACTCAGCTATGTTGGGTCTACCTACTAAAAGAAAAAATTGATGTAGGTTCAGTATTGGTCAACTTTCACTCAATGGTTCAAACACAATTCCAAACCAATATCCAAATCCTTCGCATAGATAATGGTACTAAATACTTCAATTCTATATTACGAGATTATCTACAAAAACATGGGATAGTCCATCAGAATTCCTGTGTTAACACTCCCCAACAAAATGAGATAGTAGAACGAAAAAATAGACACCTTCTTGAAGTTGTCCATGCCCTAATGTTCACAGTGGAACAGTAGAAAGATACAAAGCTCACCTTGTGGCGAAAGGATACACACAAACCTATGACATAGATTACACTGAAACATTTGCACCGGTAGCCAAGCTTAATACAATACGAGTTCTTCTATCTCTCGTAGCCAACTTAGACTGGCCACTTCAATAACTTGACATAAAAACTGCATTTCTCAATGGAGAATTGGAAGAAAAAGTGTTCATGATGACACCACCAGGTTTATCCTCTCAAGAAGAAATTTGACTTTGAAAACTTAAAAAATCTCTTTATGGCCTTACACAATCACCAAGAGCGTGGTTCGATTGATTTGCTAAGGTATTAAAAGGATAAGGATATCAACAAGGATAGTCCGACCATATTATGTTCTTCCAACAGTAAAAAGGCAAAAGGAAAATAATCTTAATTGTATATGTCAACGATATAATCCTAACTAGAGACAACATAATTGAGATGGAAAAGATTAAAGAAACAACTAGCACGAGAATTCGAAGTAAAAGACCTAGGACAGATGCGATACTTTCTGGGAATGAAAATAGAGAGGTTAAGAAAGGGGATCAGTGTTTCACAATGCAAATACATTCATGATCTCCTATCAGAAATAGGTATGCTTGGATGTAAACCAAGTGACACGCCAATTGATGTAGGAAGAAAAGCAAAATATATTGAAAAATCAGTTGAGAAAGAAAGATATCAACGACTAGTGGGAAAATTAATCTATTTGTCTCATGCTAGACCAGATATTGCATTCTCAGTCATTGTGGTGAGTCAACATATGCACTCATCAAAGGAAACACATATGGAAGCAGTATATAAAATTCTCAGGTATCTAAAAGGCCCAATAGGAAAGGGACTATTCTTTAAGAAAAATGAGAAGAAAGAAGTAGAAATATTTACTGATGCTAACTGGGCTGGTTCTACGGAAGATGGAAGATCAACAACTAGTTACTGTAGCTATGTATGGGGTAACTTAGTAACTTGAAGAAGTAAGAAACAAAATGTTGTAGCAAGAAACGGTGCAGAAGCTAAATTTAGAGCGGTGGCCCAACGAATTTGCGAAGGATTGTGGTTAAAGAAACTTTTGGAAGAATTACAAGTTGGTGTAAAACTTCAAATCAAACTACACTGTGATAACAAGGCAACAATTAACATTTTACTATGCAACATGATCTAACCAAGCATATGGAAGTGGACATACACTTTATTAAAGAAAATGTTGAAAATGGAGTGATTTGTATGACTTATGTCCCTACAAAAAAGCAAATAGCAAATATCTTCACCAAAGGATTACCTTGACAAGCTTTTGATGAGTTCATACGCAAGTTGGATATGATCAACATCTACCATCCAACTTGAGAAGGAGTTAGAAAACTGAATGATTATAGGATATTAGAGGCTATTTTGAAATAATTGATGTATCATATTTAATTTTGTCCATAATTAGGTATGATTATTTACTCTCCTAGTTTAGGAGATTATTTTCCTTATTATCCTCCCACTTGGTTGTATATAAGTACAAAAATCAAAAAGGACTAAGATCATTCACAGAGAAAAATGTACAAAAAAAAAAAAAAAAAAAAAAAAAAAAAAAAAAAACTAAAGTTCAATAACTACACACGTGATAGAATAGTCCACTCAAATCACGACGCCATTATAACCATTTAATCTATTATTTTTGATAATTTGCATCCCATCACTTTGTTTTTCTGGCGCTTTCTTTGTCGATGCATTGCGCCAGACATTCCAATTCCTTTCTCGAATAATGGGAAAGAGAATAGGTTCCAGAATGGATTCCTTAGCGCAAGCTAAGATTCGAATCCCTAAATGGCTCCAAATATCCTTATTCGAAATTAAGACTCAGGTTATCTTTTTAATGTAGGAATTTTCAGTGACGTCTGTGGGGGAATATAATATCCAGAAGAATGAGAATTTTACTAGTGCATGTTCGGCCAAGCTTGTGTGTTTTAAAACAAATAATTTTCCTTTCCGTAGTTCATAGCTAAAAGTTTCATATTTCAAAAGTACTATCCACCTTACCATTAGCGAAAAAAATAATTTATCCAATTAAATTTATAAACAAAAATTAACTTAATTTAATGTACTTTTATAAAAATGCACTAAATAAAACGTTTTATCTTGCACACAATATGATTCTAAGCATCCCACGGTGGTACTGTCTGCCAATAACAAAAGAACCCTGCTACACGACCCAAGATTAAATCCCGAGTTCAAATCCAGGCTGAAGTGGCGTGACCTCGACCCTCGATCTTGCAGCAAATGGGGCCCGCGCATACATAATCAATGGTTGAGGTGTTGCCAACACATCGGCCTATCAACAGGGCCTGTCAATGGCCCTGTTTGACTGGCAAATTCCATAACAAAAGGCTAATAGAACATTTTGGATCAAATCAATCATTTCGAGCATGTATGAAAAGTGTTCATGAACAATTTAAATTACAAATAAATAAAAATGAATACTAAATAGTTTGTAGTACATACTTGTGAATCCCTCGTAATATATGGATAAAATGTGACTTGAGCGTTTATAATAATTGTCAAAAATTCAAAAATGCAAAACTGAATCACATTAACTAAATTTGGGGGTGTTACTCGGGTAATCTTTTTGCATTTAGATGGTATGGTTTAAAGAATCAACATATACGCTCAAAGTTTGCATTTCACCATCAAAATCCAATGCAGAAGTAGAGACCACGAAAATAAAGAATAGCATCTAACAATGTTCAATAACACCACGTTTGGACCAATATAAAAGAGAGCAGCTTCAATTTTACACTCAAATGAATCATAAAATAAAACCAATTTACTAAATTATCATCTTCAGTCAACCCAGTGAAGAAGAGTTCATGAGAAAGACTTAAATGCTATTACTTTCTCAAATATAAACTTACTCCCAAAACACAATTGTGTAGAGACTATATTAAATGAGAATGACAACATTACAGGCAACATCGGTATTGTCATAACATTAATTCCTCCCACAAAATGGTTATGTAATTGGTCGGCCTACCTTCGATGCAAAGGATTTGCTCAGGAACCACAGCAAGCTGACTTCTGTGCTGCTTGAGCACCCCCTGCAGTTTGGTCCGCTTGGGTAATCCTAATGGATGGAGCCTGCGACAACCAAATAGTGGATAGTTCAGTGCTGAGCAGTAATGAGCATGTTCGGCTAAACTTAAAAAGTTGAACGGGAATAAATAATTATAAAAATAATTTTTTTTTTTTATTAGTCAAAGTTGAAAATTAGCTAATTATGTAGACAGTAAACTACAAATACTTTCAAAATAAGTGAACTTTGTTACTTAAAAGTAAGAAAACAGTAAGTTATCCAAATATGTTTGGAAACAGAAGCAACTTTTACTTTTTAAGCTTAGCCAAACTTGCTCTTAAATATTCCCCAACAAGGAAAAAAAAAACAGTACCTCAGGTCTTGAGTCCGTCTCAGAAAGTCTTTGCTTTATATCCCTGCCTATTGAGAAGAAAACCTCCTCCACATTCATATTAGTCTTTGCACTCTGTTTAACATAATGTCATCGGAATAAAGTTCAGGCAAAAATATCTGCAACATCTACAACTCAACAAGCACAACTTACAGTCTCAAAGAATTTAATTCCATATTCATCAGCAAGTGCTTGACCCCTGGATGTTGGAACAGCCTACAGAAAGAAGTAAGCCAGATCAATATTAAATAGCAAAAACAGGCTAAGTTGCATATATAAGACATATAATTGATACATATTTGTGTCTAACCGAATGTAAAGTCGCCCATCTATTAATCAATATCCTATATGTTAAGTACCTCTAATAGTTACTGAATTATTTAGAGAGCAATATAGCTCCACATCCAAAATTAATGATTCAAGTTTCAACTGCCTAACAATTGACATCACATTAGAAAAAATCCTTGTAAAGTTTAATAGAAAGGAAATTAACTATATATATCAATATATTTAATGATTTTACTTTAGGCACAGACCAACTCATAGATAAGTAAAAGTTAATTAGTGAGCTGCCCGGCTTCCTATTACCTGGTTGCAATAAAATTAGAAAAATGTGATATTGTACTTTATACCCAATTGGTCATTTCTCCAAAATCCAAAAGAACATTTTGTCTGTCTCTACATAAAATTGTTAGCATGCAAAAATAGTTATTCATTTTTCGTATGCAACTCTCTCTTTGTAATGGTTTTCCTATTTTTAAGCTTCATTTGCATAGTTGATCAAGGAAAGACCAACAAAGCTTTTTCTTCATTTTCTAAATGTAATCCTCTCCTATAAACGTTTAATTTATGCTTTATTAGTCAGTTTAATATGATTATACTATCAAGAAAAGAAACAATTTGTCTAATTAGATTTTGATTTTCTTCTAAGGTTTATATATTTGATGATTGCTTACATATTATAACGCATAATGTCAAATGAGGTTTCAACACATCCAGCAAATCCTTATTGGGGAAAAAAAAAAAAAAAAAAAAAAAAAAAGAGTTGAAAATCCACAATAGATTAAGAGAACAGAGCAGATTCAGTACCTATGTCTAATCTAGAAAAAAGTAATAAACAATGCAGGTTGGATTGACAATGATTCTATGCTCTCAAAAGATGCCTACCAACTTAAATGGTAAATTTTCAGATGAACTATACTTTACATGACTGTATTACCTACGTACAAAAATGCCATAGTTCTTGCATAAATGAGAATGTAAAACTGGATGTATGGTTATATTAGGAATATACTTTAATTAATGGATGTTAAATCAAATTGAAGGAATGAAGAGTTAGATGGTTAATGCAGGGTGCTAATGAAGTGGTAATGCAGGCAAAACAATAATTTTGGTTATCAATAATCCCAAATGGATTAATTTAATGTCAACTATAGTGCTAGCTAACAAAAGAGCATAGAATAAAAGCTATGCAATTAATTCTACACTAAGAAATGCAAGAAGAACTTCTTAGTTGAAAAAAATTGCATAAATGAAATTTAACCATGAGAAATAAACCTTAAAATTTTCAAAAGGGCTGTAATTACATATACAATCTTGCAAAAGTTTTAATAAATACTAAATTCTAATCCATTTGCATCCTTGCAATAATAGTTTCTGTTGAACGTGAATTTTATTGGAAATCAGCGAAACCTAAACACAGAAGAGAAATAATGAAAAAATTTAAAAAAACAAATTAAAAAAAAAAAAAAAAAAACATACAAAAGCATAAACAAGAGATAATATATGTATATAGGAATCTCACTGAAAGTTCATAAACCCTAAACACGAAGAAGTAAACGACTAAAAAGAATAAATAAATGTAGAAAAAATGAACAAATACACACAACAAGAAGCAAGAGATAAAGATAAAACAAGATCTTATTGGAATTTGATAAACTCTAAACACAACGAAGAAGTCAAACAAAGAGAAATAGAAATAAAACTAGGGATGGGAATGGGGCTTGGGTAAGGTGGGGGAACCCCGTACTTGCTCCGTTGCCCGTTTAAGGCGGGGCAAAAAAATTACCCATTTATATACCCCTTTTTTAATTACTTTCATTCATTTAATTGAAACATTAATATAGTTATTAAATTTTTTAATTAATTTATTTATTTTTAAAAGTTAAATTATTCGAATATATTTGATAAAAATTAAGGTTTTTACTGCTTATCATATTCTTTAGATAATTTTAGTTGTCATTTTCTATTAGAATTAATGAAATTTTGTGGAGTTTTTTAAAGTATTGAATTCTTAAAAAAAATGTAGCGGGCAGGGCCTCTCGGGTATCAGGTTCGGCAGGTTTTTTTGCCATCCCTAAATAGAACAAATCAAGGAAACATTCACAACAAAAGGCAAGAGATGAAGATGCTTGAATGAGTCAAGGTTTACGTTTTGTGCAAATTTTGCCCTCTTTCGTAAAATTTGAAGAGTGATTCAAAGGAAGTTGAGTAATACACAAAAGAAGTTGAAGGGCTTCTCAAGATTTCAATTTCAATTTAGAAGTTGATTTATTTTATTTTATTTTTATTTTTTTGAAGGATTCATAGTTTTCTAGTTTTTTGAGATTGAGAGTGGAAAGGAATTAGGGTTGATGGAAAATCGCTGGAACTGAAAAGTATCCCATTCATATATGAATGTGAAAAATATATAATATACGGTATATTTTTAGCTCTTTTTAATCAACAATGTTGAACCAATTTTAAACCAACTCAATGTAAACATTTTGGTCCAAAGATAAACAGTAGATCGCCATCCCCTCTTTTAATGGAAGGTAGATCTTCAAGTACAATTGTGAGGTGATTAATTGTAGATTTTTCCACTTTTTGTACAATTTTTTTGTGTTGTCAACTCAAGGACATAATGATGTTTAATTTCTCTAGAAGGGCAATCCCAAAAATGACAATCTTGCAAAGATTTTTAAAAAGTGACATTTTTTAAAAATGTAAAGTCAAAAATTGACATGTAGTGCAATTTCCTCTTTAACTATTTTTATGTGTTTAACTAAAGTAAGGACATTTTACGCTTCGTGCAAGGACTTTGACTTTTTTAATTGTCATTGAGGGAAGTTATCAAAAATTATAAATTGCACTATTAAGTTAAAGGTAGCAATGTTTGTGCCAAGATTTGAAGGTTAAGGAGCATTTTGAAATAACTCAATGTAATGCCCCGAAATCTCTTTTATCTTTATTATTTTATTCTTTTATGAAAATAGGCTCGAGGTGTTACAAAAATCTTCTTCATCCAATCTAAGCGGAAAATCACTTTTATTAAGTGTTGAAATTTGAAAATGTGATCGATAATTCGATAATGATAAAATAACTATTTAAGTAAAATTTTCATATTATATATAATTTTTGAAATACTCAATTCCAAGCTATTAATTTAAGATTTAACGTAAAATGTCGAATGCTAGATCTCTAAAAATATTAAATAACGTGCAATAACATAAAGACATTATTCAAATAAAAGTTGACAATGATATTCTCTAAAAACTTTACTTTGCGATCCCACAAGCATCACTCGGTCAACATTCCACGCGTCCACACGACCCGCTCTCATTTGAAAAGTTATTGTAAGAGTGAATATTTTGAAAAATACTCCATAAGAATAAGTATACCTTCTTATTAACTTGATATAAATATAAATCCGACATAACATACCGACATTTCTTAGATTTAGAGCTCAAAGAATTTCTTAAAAATTCCTATATCCCGTTGAATTTAACATAACTAATCCAAATGTTCATCCCGTAGAATTTAACATACTTGACCTAATGGTCTATTCCGAAAGATTTAAAGAGAATTCGACCCGAAGCATTGATGCCAAAATTTATATAAAAATCAAGAAATATGATTTTACCACTTAGCACGATGTATTCTTACATCAATTGATATTCAAAAATTTATTTGAAAATATGATTGTAGACTTATAGTAAAAGAAATTATCTCTAACAAAGTATGCGGATGTCAAACTATAAGAAATGAAGTTTTGTGTTTTAAAAGAAAACTCACACACACACACATACACATACACATACACATACACATATATAATTCATTAAATTATAATATCCATTCATATTTTCTAGGAACTGTACCTGAATCTGAAATGAAAGTTTTCCTTTTTACTATTTTATTATTTTTATATTAATAAAATGTATAATTCGGGTTACTTTTCTTTCTATCAATATAACTCGAATATAAATAGTTCAAAATTATTTTTTTTCGTGAGCCCAATTTATTTTATTTAATACGATCTACAAAACGAGTATAATATTTTGTATATTTCATCAACTTTTAAATATACCTAAATATTCGATCCAACTAAGTTTACGATAAATTCTAAAAGCAAGGTAAATTTTTTATGCTAATAAGTGGGTATTGAGCTTATCTTTTAACGATTGAACTTATTGTGAGGACAAGACTAGACATGGACCATTCCATTTTCTAAATTACCAATATTAAGTTTAGGCCCTATATAAGAAGAATTCAGCGTGTTACACTCAAAAGGTTAGGGACCATTTTCCCCAATTTCTCTTTATTCTTTTGCTTATTTTATTTTATTTTTCCTAAATTTTTCTTTTTATTTTCATTTTTAATTTTTTTTATTTCTTAGAAAAAAGTAATAAACATTTTTTATTTTTAAATTCTTAGTCAAATAGATCAACTAAAATTACAATGAATGATTTCATCCATTTGAACAAATGCTAATAATTTCTCAAAAGTTTGTACAATTGTCTCCCCTAAAAAAAGGTTGATGATGGATTTACAAGCAAAATGAAATGTTAAGAATCTAGCTACTATTTACCCTTGAAAATCAAAAAAATAATAATTAAATAAATAAGGGAATAGTGGCCTCTGCAACAATCCACCACCAATAATACACAACAAATAATAGCTATATACACGCTGACACGCACCTGTATTATTTATTTATTCGTTTGATCTTGACACTACTTTTATCGTTTCCAAGCTTTAAAAAAATTGATTAATGCCCACAACGACTACAAAAAATAGATTTCCATATCTAATTAAGAACCACAACCATAAAAGCCCTCAAAGACTAATCTCCGCCACTCATCTTTCGAAGATGCCATATATGCTATCCTCAGCTTCGAAAATTGTAGTACGCTGTCAAATTTATTGAAGATACAGTTAAGAGATAACAAAAATGGGTCAACACATAATATTCATGTTGAGCTCGATTTTTGTATGCATACGTGGACAACAGATATTGGGCACACTCACCTATATGCAAGCTAATTCCAACATCCTTGGATATATCACTAGTCGGCAAAATATTTCGATTTGGGCGATGGAAAAACATTACAACATGAGACAAAAATGTTCAAATGCTGACGACATATATAAATGGGCTTGCATAATGAAGAACAACAAAAAACACACAAATCCAAAGTTAAGTATCCAACTCAAACAATATGGGATGATAAAGCCAGAGAAAAGATGAAGACTAGTTCCAAGTGTATATTGTTGCATTAGCCTTCAAATGATGCGATGAGGGAGTATTTCTAGTGTTATACATGAAATGGTTTTCGTTGAATGAGGAGGCATGTGAACTCATCTCCTTAGCTAAAGCGCTCGATCTTAGGCATCAATCTAACATTACATGCATGTGGCACATTTAATACCCTTAAAAGGGGACAGTCACTCTATAGCCTATGCTAACAAGATTTTGACATATCACCCATTACAAATGTCATATCAATCATTCGAATAAGATTTTAACAACTAGAGATCTTTGAAGGGTTGGGTCATTATATTCTATACATAAGCATCGGATTGAGCCTCTGAACCACAACCGCTTCGGTGAAAGGGCTTCAGTACCAACATTTTGCCACTTTCAAGATG